GTTATTTTGAGTGAAATCACACACCTATCCCCAATCGACGAACGATAGGGGCGGGTATCCACCGTCTGGAGGTGGCCATAAAGACGGAGGTAGGTTCCCCAGTGATGTCCCCATTTGATTTCCAAAAAGTACAGCAGCTATTTAAAGAGTCATCACAAACAATTATAATTCTTGACACGCTTGATATAACCAAGTATGGAATAACTCAAGATAGTCAACTACCTTCAGCTCCTTGAGTATTCAGATTCGGTACATTCTTCTTGGGATGATAGTACTTACAAGAATCTCCATACTGGCACGACCCCTAGAATAAATCGAGAAAAAAAACAAAGGTTAAATTAGACAACAATGTGGCACATTACAGCCGGTGAAGACAATGGAATAGAGCATGAAACTCAAAAATTAAAAAACAAATAACACATTCTTACGACGTACAACACTGTCCTATCAGATGAAATATTTTCATTGTTGGAACTCATGATTGAATTATTTTGATACAACGTCACATTTATAGAGCAAATTGAAATGATGAATAACTAAACTTTCTACAAAATAAATTGTTGTCCGCCATAGCCTGAATTCTTAAAATTATGCAACTCTATTTAGAACACAAATTATGTCTTCTTTTGAGTTGAGATGCCTAGCAACCGACGGCTAAATTTTTTCAACATTCAAGGCCCAAGGGAAGCTAATAGTTTAACTTACTCAGCTAAAAAAAAAATGGAAATGGGGTTATATCAACTTAGGGGGCACCATAACAAGGAATTAATGCACTAAAACTAGTGAAATACACAAATTACAAAAAAAAAAAAAAAAAAAAAAAAAAAAAAAAAAAAAAAAAAAAAAAAAAAAAAAAAAAAAAAAATTAAATAAAGAAATAAAGAGAAACCATGATAATCCACTCCAAAAGGTCACCGGACAAAATATATTAGCAAAAATCAATATGCAGGGCACTACTCTTGGAGGATTAGCTTAGACCACTTCCCTTGTATGGAAATTAGCTGTAAATTACATTAAGTTTGAAGTTTTGTCCTACTGTGTATTCCCTTATCGAATGTCAACAAACTTTTGAGACTTGAAAAATTTCAACATTTAATCTTTGTCAAGGGAAAGAAACAATCTACCCCCAAATTATAACTTAAAGATAAATAAACTCTTGTAACAAATTAACAAGCACATAATCTACAACGACCTTGAGAATTAACTTCATCTATCTGTCAATGAAAAATCAACTTCTTGACGGAATTCCGAAACCAAGTCTCCGTGGATCATAACTTTTTTCACAGCCAATTAGTTTTAAAAAACCTATAAGGAAACTAGCGCTTAAGATTGAAAATCGCAAAGGAGTTCACTTACTCTGCAATCTATTCCAATATTTGTGTGTAAATTAGAAATGGAATACACTGAATTAAACAGCTCAATTAACAAAAAAAATAAAAAATAATTCAGTACACCAAGAAACAGACAGATATACACACACACACCCACACACAAGGGTAACAGTGAGTGAGACTCTTTACCGTACGGACGAACCAATTGCAGACTCCTTTGGCCATAAACAGAGGATCTTCGACCTCATTCACAGCAACTAAAACGAGAGTGAAAAGAAATCGAATTAAACAGAGTAGACATTGAAGATGATTGATGCGTTTTGAGATCGGGAAATGAGAAACGGACAGTGGGAGGAGGAGCGGACGGCGTCGTACCAGAGGGCTTTGGCCCTCTGGTGGGCGGTGCCTTTGAGGTGGCGTCGCCGGGCGGTGGGTGTATCCTGGAATTGTTTGTCGCAGTAATCGCAGTAGTATTTTCCCAGCGGCATCCTTTTTTTCTCCCTCCGTCTCTCGCTCGACGAAGAAATTACGATGGACTTATGATATTTATCAAATGGTAAATGTGATTTATAATTCTGACAAATTTGACGAGGATAATAATCCCCCTCCGCATATATATTAAAACAGAATGCGCTGAGCCTACCTGGCTGCTTCTGGTGCTTCGAAATTCTATGTGGCAAAATTATATGCTTCTAATACTTGGGTAAATTTTAATTTAATTCTAAACAAAAAATAACTAGATTTGGATTACCATAAATATGTTGATTATTTATGGTCATGTTACATGTATTAATTGTATTTTAATATCATTCCTTATTATAACTATTGAATTGTATATTTATTTTAAAAGTTAATAATTTTTATATTTTTTATCAGTTTTACATATGTAATATATCAAATTAATCTTCTTTTGATAAGCTTCGATTTAACATCCATATTCTATGTATAAAAAAAATAATTTATATTTATCTTTATAACAATAATAAAATTATTTTTAATATTAATTAGAAAAATAAAATTATTTATCAACTAATATATTTATATTTCAAGTAGTTATATGATATAAGTTATAAAAACTAATATAATATAACACATGTAAGCCATAAGTAACACATATCATTCTAAAATATATAGTAATATATTTTTTTTTGTAAAAAAGTAAACTAAATTTAATATAATTTTCTCATTAATTTTAAAATTTAAGAATAATTTTTTAACAAGCACTCGTGTAATACACGGTATTGTACTAGTTATAGAATAGAGTAAGGCTAAGTTCATTTTAGGTTGAAGTGTTCGATTCATGTTCAAGAATTCATAGCTATACCATGTTAAGGTTCGATTATGCCTAGTTAAGTCGTGATCGAGTAACTTCTCATTTTACCCGGCAACTCATGAACCATATATGTTTAATTGATCAGTTTACCTCATTTTGTACTCAGTTATATGGTGATGGTCGAGACAAAATACTGTTTTATTCATGAATTGGCTCCCGGCTGTGGTTAGCGCACATCGCGCATGGCCACGAGTTATTTCGTATCATGTCATGTTACTTTCAGTTAGGGTCAAGATTGTCCGTGCGATTTATGTCCCAATAGTTTTTAAATGATGTTTCATGTTAACTGGTCTTGAGTTTCCGAGGGAAAAATCGAA